GCAGCTCAGATGGTAGAGCACTTGCCTTGAGCTGAGGAGCTGAGGGACAGCACCGAGGCCCAGACTTCAAGCCCCACGACCAAAAACCAAAAAAAAAATAGATAAAATTTTTCTGATTGGATATAAATTTAAACACAGATTTAGATAAATGCAGGCTGTTGCTCATTCAAGCAAGATATATAAATATCCACTGACAAAAATAAAACTAAGAAAAACATGCCTTAGGTGTCAAGAGGCTTATGATAAAGAAAAATATAAGCCATATTCACTTAGAATATAAACAAGTAAAATGATAAGTTCTGATAAGTGTGTACTTGAGTTATGTTAAGAGTGTGCCCTATAAATTCTCCAATGGTTCCATAATAAAGCAATTGCCCTGCCACCTAAATAAAACCAATTTTATGTAAACCACCTTGTTGTATAAATTTCATATTAATTTGCTACCTAACTCAGTGTCTACATTATAGCTCCAACAATTCAATAAACTATTTTTGTATGGGTACAACTAATCAGTTTATCCTTTATATCATAAATCTCATGTCAGATACTTAGGTGTTGACTATATTTCAAGTCACCATGCCATAGGCTATCAAGAATGAAAAGAACACAATTGAAGCATATTCTGTGTTCTCAAGGACTATTTAGTAGGGTTGCCTAAGCAAGGTTCCTTCATGTAACATAGTTACTAGACTCACACAGTTACAGAGAAGGAGCAAGCTCATAGGGTTGTCAAAGATGATACATCAAAAAAAAAAAAAAAACCTGAAGGTGGATGGAATTTTGATGGAGAGTTTGGTAACTTCAGAAAAGGACATTCCAAAAATGCAGGGACAAAGCAGGAATGTCCACTGAGCAGTGTTAAAGAAATATTCTACTTATGGTGGAAGAAATGCTGCTATCTTTCCATCACAGCAAGTATGACAAATCATTGTGTTGAGACCATGTTATGAAAGATTTGACTTACAGGCTTGAGCGTTTCTACTTTATCCAACCAGCACAAGGTCTCATGGAAAGGTTTTGAGCAGGAAAGGAATATTAGGAATATTGCCAAAACATTGGTTTAATACCATGAGTTTTAGATTGATACACAAATTATTTCGGAGGAAAGAGATAGCCTAAAGGTATAATACTTGGGTTATGCATTTGCTCAGGTGGGAATTAGTAAGAACCCAAATCAAGATTCAAGAAGGGCAGATTAAACCCAGTGAAGTACAGAGTAAACCCAGTGTTTGCCAGTTTGTTTCTGTTTTAATGGACCAATTATATATATAAATGAATATAATGGGAATACCAACGCTAATCTTCATTGTCAAGGAGCAAACATGAATGGAATGATAGTGTCCTATAGAAGACAGAAGCATGAATTCTTTATCTGTACAATACTAGCAAGAACATTGTACATGCCCTACTTTTTAACCTGTTTTCCATTGAGAATTGAGTCCTTGGAATAGTGGGTGTACTTTTGAGTAACTATTGTGTTTCTGGCTTCTCATAAGGCTGTAAAGCTGAGGCCAACTTCCCTCAGTGCTGGCAGGCTTGGAAGCAGACTTGAGCTGAACCACCACAGCTGTGTTGACTTTAGGCTGTAATCTCTGTTTTCCCCTTTGTTCTTAATTCTCCTGACCCTCCCTTCCTGCGTCTTGCTTTTATTTTGTCCAAGCTTCTACGCAGATGTCCCCTTCTCCTACTTTCTTATGACTAACCTCCAGTTTTACTAAAGTGGCCTTGAATCAACTGTGTCAGCATCTCTTGGGAACCTTTAAAAAATGCAAATTCTCAGACTCCACGCTGGAGCACTGAACCAGAGTGAAGCTTGGCAGCATGTGTTTGTTTCAATTCCTCCAGATAACTGTGACACACATATTAGTTTGAAAACCACTGTCAAGATGATAATAACTGCATTCTTTTTCTTTCTCACCTCATCTATGTGTTTTCTTGCTCATAGTATCTCTGGTCCACTCATAGTTATTTTGTTATACCAGGTAAATTCTTCATTCACTTTTTTAGAGTGCATGTACATTCTGAAAGGAGCATATCCATTTGTTGTGGCTATTACCACCCATGAAGTAGTTATAGGTACCCTATCTCATGGCCACTCACTAGTCTATGCGAGAGTGCACAGCACTTGGACTACATGTCCATACCTGTTCCAATCAGTGGCCACTCCTCCCTTTCTGACCAGATGAAGCTGCTTTCTTACCTGAGGCTGCAGCAGATAAACCAGAAGGAAGCTTGTTCCTAAGAAATGTGTTCCTAACTAGGTAAATGTGTACATTACGACTTCAGCAGAAAGTTAGTTGGGATTTACATAGTTGGATAACCTGGATTCAGGAAAGACAGGAAGCAACAAAAGTATCGCTTGACATTACTGGAAATAATCCAGAGACAAGGCCATTTACTTTCTCAGAATTTTGGATATCGTTCTAGGGAGGACTGAAATCAAAGGTTGTAGGTGAAATGGACAAGGATCTCATTCCTAAATTACATAGATGGCATCCAATAGAAGCCAATGCAGCCTAAATGATTGCATTATGGTATGAAGACACTGTTGATTTCTATCACCATCCATTTTAAATGACAAAATACTTTGGAAGTTTCAGTGCACTGACAGCCTCAAACACAAGCTGCATACCTGACAGTTATCTTGTTAGGGACAGGGAAGTGATGGGTTTCTATGGAAATTTACTGAACTAGGGCAGAAAACAGAAGGAAGTGATGCTTTACTTTGTCATGGTGCTTTGTTGTCTTTCAAAGTAGATATAAGTCCCTAGGATTCATTCAAACATAGTAATTCTTGTACTTACTGAGGCTGAGGAATTCATGTTGTGCCATTGATTGACGATAAACAAGTAGTCTTGGTTTTATTAACTTCGTTCAGTTATTACTAGGAGCTCTACTTGAAAACTCAAGGTTAGCATGTTTGAAGCAATGACCAAAGTACAAGATAATAGATGGTTAAGTGCTAAATTATGTGATCCTTGACATATTTCTCTCTGTGCACTCTGAGTAATCTCATCTCTCATGACCTTAATAACTGGATAGGAAATCTTTCTCAGTCTTGGGTAATGTAGGGCTAAAATATTTCACCTATTTCTTACATTCCCTTTGTATGGACATAAACTCCTTTTATAATTCTTTCACCTACATGTGTAAAAATGGCTTATACTTATGGCTCTTAAATAACTATAAAAACAAATTTACAAGTTAAGTATGGGCAAGCTGGGTAGCCAACATATTTTAAATTAGTTCAGTGGCATAGATATTTTATTGAAACAAACGTTATTACCTATATCCTAGGCCTTCTAAGATTGAGGTTCCCTGATATTCTTTATTACTAAACTGTGTGGTGAATTAACTCTCACTTCTCGATCCAAATTGCAGCAACACTATATATATATATATCCTACAGTGTTTTTATTTTGTGTGTGTGTTTGCTTATGAAATGTGCCAATTTTGTATGCACCAACTCTTCTTGTGACATGTTCTTTTTTTTTTTTGTCGGTCATGGGGCTTGAACTCTGGGCCTGGGTGCTGTCCCTCAGCTCTTCAGCTCAAGGCGAGCACTCTACCACTTGAGCTACAGCGCCACTTCCGGTTTTCTGGTGGTTTGTTGGAGATAGGAGTCTCCCAGTCTCTCCTGCCCGGGCAGGCTTTGAACTGCGATCCTCAGATCTCAGCCTCCTGAGTAGCTAGGATTACAGGCGTGAGCCACCAGCGCCCGGCTTGTGACATGTTCTTATACTTTAGAAACAATAAATAGACAGCTATAGTCAACCTGATTGAAATACCAATGAAAAGATGAGAAATAGAGTCTTTAGCAAAAGTTGTGTGTATAATGATACACAATTGCCCTACATACTTTTGGAGATTGTCATAGATATAAAGATATGAAACCCTCATTTCATAAAAGTAGACATTCTCAATAAAAATCAAGGGCATCTCTGGCTGATACAGCTGTTTTCCAAGATAACCCAACAAGAAAGCTTGGGTACTTAAGTCATCAGGAGACAACCAGCCTCCAGCTCTCACTTCCTTTTGGCTCTGTTCAGCTGCCAAGAGCTGCTAGCCCAAGGGTTCGTCCCTCCCCAGGTGCCCACATCAAACATCTGTTGGAGGCAGCAGTATTAAAACCACTATTTCCTCTGAACAGGAACACCTCTGATGGGCTCCATACTCCGTGTAGAAGGGCCAGAGCATTGTCAACTTGTAGTTTTACATCTATTCCCAATCCTGTTTTCCTCCTTCTTTCCCAATGGTTATTTTTCCTAATAAATACCCTGTGTGAAAAACTCTACCCCCATCTGCTGCCAAAGAACTCAGTCAATAAAAGCGTCCATCATCTCTTTAAGGATTGCTACCCCTATCCCAGAGCAGCAAAAATGCCTCTTGTGTAGCCCTAATTCTGACTGTGAACTGAAGAGTCTCAAATTTCAACTTGAGATTGTATATTCCTGCCAGATCTGCAAATTCAACAAGTGAAAATCTGATGCATAACTGGACTTTGGGGCTCATGCTTCTTAACAAAGGGAGGACTGTGCTCATTTTCCAGGGTTTAACTTTTCTCTAAACAAATGAAGTTACCCTTTTTACTGTTGAGATTGTTAATAGTTTTGATTTTCCTCTTCCAATTCTAAAAATCTTTAAAAACATTTGTTTCCTCCTGAAGGATTCATACACAAAGTACCAACTCATAAACACATACTTATTTTGGAGAACAATATATTGGCTCACATATTAAATAAAAGGAAGGCTTTTAATGAGGGGATAGGAGCAAATGAAAAGGCTTCACTTTTGCTTCTTCAATTAGCATTAATGTAGTGAAGTTCTTAGAATAAAATATTTGTTCTGGGTTAAGGTAAAATGTATCTCTCTTCTTTGTCTTCTACTACAGTGAAGATTAAGGAGAAGCAAGTCTTTCTAAATGGCAGTGAAATTTTAATAGCACAGAGACTAGAATGTATGAAAATAAGGAGTTACATGCTTTTTCTTTTGAAGATAGCTTATTGGAAGATACTGCTGTTTAAAATGGAGAGCTGTGTTGTCAGTTGAATGTGAGAATCAGAGGTGTTTGTAAAGGAGAAATTGTCAGGAGAGCAGTAGAACATTTCCTGCCCATGGGTACAGTCCTGAGGATTTGTGATAGCCATGACGAATCCAAAAACCATCACCACAGCTCCGACAGGAAGCATGACACAGGACATAATCTTATCTGAGTGTGTCCTTGGCTCCTCAGACAGTTTCAGATAGCATGCTGAGGGAATGATAAAAATCAGAGGAGCTGCACAGAGAACACCCTGTGGGTGGAAGACAAGAACCAAGAAAATGTTACTGGCTGGAAGCTGCCTTGGGATAGTTTTAGAAAACAAGTCTTTCATTGCATACATTGAAACAATTTTCATTGCAAAAACGTTCAATTGTATGTTTCATCATACAGTTGAATCAAACAAAATTTGATATAACATTTTTAAAAAATATTTTACATAAACAAAATATAGAGAGAAAAATGGCAAATGAAGGGCTTCATATTTTGAAACTAGACTTTCCAGGCAGTGTTTAAAAGACTAGACAAGAACCGCTGGACTCACAAAGAAAATAATAATTCCAAAGTAAATTTAGAAGTCAAGTTTTCCTTTTCCAATGGAATACTTACAAATGAAAAAAGTAAAGAATATCAGTACATCAGACATTAGAATAGAGGATCAGAAAATGATTTAGAATGCTGTAGATGGCAAGACTCATTTTGGCCAACTTGAAATCTCACACTTTTTCAGTTGTGTCATCTTTCTTATATTCTCCATTCAAAATCATTGTGTACTTTGCTTTTTAAACTTTAATGGTCTACTTTCCCTATGTGTATAAATGGAGAGTTTTAGAAAACTGTATAGGCATTTGCCTTTTCTCTTTTCCCGGGCTTCTGTGACAGTAGGGTCTGGGTATGTGAGTAAAGAAAACTAACCCAAATTAGAATATCTATATCCCTTCCTTCTTCCTTCCTTCTTTCTTTCCTTCCTTCCTTCCTTCCTTCCTTCCTTCCTTCCTTCCTTCCTTCCTTCCTTCCTTCCTTCCCTCCTTCCTTCCCTCCTTCTGTTTTTGCAAAGTCTCACAGACTTGGCTGCCTAGGCTGGTCTTCCAGTCATGATCTTCAGATCTCAGCCTCTTAAGTAGCTAGGATTACACGTTTGAGCCACTGATTCCTGGCTTCTCTATTCTCTTTCAAGTTAAACAAGATATATTAATTGCCCTGGAAAACTGAGAGCAGTACTAATGGTTATAACTTGTACACTCTTACCCCATTAGTCATGTGTCAATCCATCTTAAAGGAGAATATGAAGATTAAAAATAGTAATAACTTGAGGGAATGAGTAGGGATGGAATAGACTGGGGGATAATGATGAAAGGGGTGACACTGATCCAGATAAATTGATACGTTAATTTGAAAGACCACGGAAATGTAATTTTTTAATTACAAAATAACAGAACTGTTTGTTATAGAAACCTCAAGTTATTGACTTCAAAGGAAGAGTCTTTCTACTTAAGTAGGGAAAATTCTCACTAGAAATTCTGCAAATGATACATGTTAAGATTAAATGCATTTTGTTTAATATATTTTTTCTAACCATGTCTAGTATTATATACTAAATAAAATATAACATTGACAAAAGTATATTAAAATTGATGACGTTATTTTCTCATCTCATAAAAGTTTTAAGATCAAATTTTATTGTTATATTGAGTGTATAACATGTTATTGTTACAATACTTAAATAAATGTATCTTATCATCTCACCCCCTGTTACTTTGTGTGTGTGTGTGTGTATGTGTGTGTGTGTGTGTGTGTGCACGTGCACACGCTCACACGCACATGTGTGTTCAAGTCTTGGCCCTTAAACTCAGGGCCTTGGAGCTCCTGAGCTTTTTTTGCTCAGGATTAGTACTGTGCTATTTAAAGCACAACTCCACTTGTGGCTTGTGGCTTTCCAACGATTAAATGGAGATAAGAATCTCTTAGACTTTCCTGTCTAAGTAGCTTCATATCACAGTCTTAAGATTCACCCTCCTGAATAGCAAGGATTACAGGCATGTGTGAGCCACGGGTGCCCAGCCATAGTTACTTTTATATATGGCAAAACAACAGTTAAAATCTACTCACTTAGCAGCAATGTAAAATATAATCTACAGTTTTTTTTTCTTTTTTTTTTAAGTTAGCTAATGAAGGTGATATACAGAGAAGTTACCTTTCATCAGTCAGGTAATGAGTACATTGAATTCATTTTTTTGGGGACAGTGTCACCCCTTCCCTCTCTCTCTCTCTCAGTTAAATAAATTTTAATATACAGTTTTTTCTTTTTACTTTTTTTATCTGTGCTGGTACTAGAGCTTGAACTCAGGGCCTTAGCACTATCCCTCAACTTTTTCACTCAAGGCTAGCACCTCGATTCTACTAAGTAGCTAGGATTACAGACATGAGCCACTGACACCAGGCTTTTAAGACAGTTTTATTAACTGCAATACTCAGGATTATTTTTATCTTCAAGTACTGTTCAAACTTTTTCACACTATTTTCATAGATTCTTCCCAGGGTTATCAATCAAAGCAAACTAAATTTAAAACTAGATGATATAAAATAGTACATTGCACATTAAATAACTTTAAAACAACTATTTTTCCTAATGACTCAATTTGATAAAAATTACTGCTGTATATTTCATACTAAGTACCATTTCCAAGCCAGAATGATTTCAATAATATACTTTAAAATATTTTACAAAATCAAAACAAAAATATAGAGAAATGACAATTAATGGCTTAATATTTTGACATCAGACTGTTCAGGGAGGACCAAAAAATATGGGGAAGAATAGTAGTGTTCACATTGTCAGGAAAGTATTTCTACAGTAAGAGACACAAGAACTGGAAAAATACGAGTGTGTGCCAAACTGTGTTCTAAATTTAAAGTACACAGACAAGATACTCTGCATTCATTTATACTTGAACACAATTGAATATCTGTAAAGATATACTGTAAGCAAAAGGTTAGTTGTCAAAGGGCTACAATTAAATGAATTAAAGGTTCTATATACTCTAACAGAACACTTAGAATTTATAGTGTCTTTTCAACTTATGAGAAATACCATAGAACTAATCTGTGGGTATCCCTGAAGAATTCTTCAAATGACAAGAGTATTTAAACCCATGTCCAGGGGGGTTATGTTGTCTTTTCTTTGTAGGTGGAGTAGATGAGGCTAGTGCACCTGAAATGGCCATGTGGGATGATGCCAGCAGGAGAGAAGCTACACTGGTCACTGAAGGACACTGTTCCCAGTCAGCATCAGACATCCTTTAGACTCTTCCTAGCCTAGCTTGCTGGGCAAAGTAGAACAATGGTGGTTTATGTTATAATTTTTAAGAGTTGAGAAAGTAATGATTAGAAGAAAAACTAGATAGTTGGTTATCTTGTTTAGATACTATTTACTCCTGGAATACTTGTAAGCTCAGTTTCACTAGAAGTTGTTGCTTGATATTATGGTCATTGAGAAATAATGGTACAATTCCACAAGGCCTATTCTCTAGGAAGCATTTGGCTCCCTTGAGCTATTTTATGTAGAATTGTTTGAGGATGGACCACTAGCTTTGGAATGATGGTGTGTGTGTGTGTGTGTGTGTGTGTGTGTGTGTGTGTGTGTTGTGTGTGTGTGTGTGTGCTGGAGCTTGAACTCAGGGCCTGGGTGCTGTCCTTAAGCCTTTTCATTCAAGGCTAGTACTCTACCATTTGAGCCAAAGCTCCAATTCTGCTTTTTTATTTTGGTGTTTTTTGGAGATCAGAGTCTCGTGGACTTTCCTGCCTGGTTGGCTTTGAACCTCGATCCTCAGATCTCAGCCTTCAGAATATGTAGGATTGCAGGGGTGAGCCACCGGTGCCCAGCTGGAATGATTTTTAAAAGTGCTTGACATGTCATAAAACCACAACTGTTATTTAAGGAGGCAGTACAATATTTCCCTGTGTACAAAGACACATCATTGCTATCCATTGCTTATGCTAGCACATTTTGAAGTTTACAACAACAGGGTGGTCTTTTTTTTTTAACCAATAGTACAGATTGAAAAAGTGTCTGGATTCTGCCTGTATGGAAACTCCTCATATGATACAAAGGCTGTACAAACTACAGGAATAAGAAAATGCTGATCGAAATTTCTTGTAAAGTTCAACTTTGTAATCCCTTCGGATTCATGATATTTATTCCTATATGTAAATTTAAAAAAAAATCAAGTTCCCTAGTTCAGGCAGTCTTTGGCAAGTAGAATGTCTCGCTAATGGTGATGATTCTACTTCCTTGCCTGGGCTCTCTCTGGGCATGGGCGGGCCATGTCCCTTCCATGAAAGTAGCACACAACTCTTTGTTGGACTGCTTACTATGGTCACCAGCAGCAGCTGTCTCATTTTTTTTCTCTTTGTACTGCTGCAAGTGGAAACCCATAGGGCCCAATTACTGCAGATGCTTCTTTTCTCTAACAGCTGCACCATGCCAAGTCTCAGGCCTGGAATATCCAAAATGGGTCTTACATTTAATTGGTTTGCTTCTCAAATGAATCATGTAAACCTGTGAGAGCCTTTACATTGGGAAAATGTGTCAATGTTGTCTGCTGCTATGAAAATAATTTTAGAACAGTCCAGAGGTTTTAAATTTGTTGAATAAACAATATAATCCAAATAGTATAATGTGTATTTTCAGCTTTACTATATAAGAGAATGAATGATCTAATTTTACATCTGACTCTAATACATGTCCTATCTGTGAAGGTCATTGTTCTATGTTATGAAGTCACACAAAAAGATATTTTTTATCTTTTTAAAAAAATTGTTGTTGTGTGTTTTTGGTTCTAATGATTGAGTCCATGACATTACATATACTGGACAAGTGTTCTACCATTGGCGTACATCTGTAATCCTTAGATTTTTGAGACATGGGCTGGCTATGTAGACCAGGCTGGCCTTGAACTCATGATTCTCCAGTCTCTACCTCCTGAGGGCTAGGATTATAGGCACACCCTACAGGGCACATCACATGATATATAATTTTTAAACTGGATGAAAAAGAGAATTATTCTACATAATTTAGTAACTCAGACTTGAGATAAAAGATCTAAAGACCTATGTTTAAATCTTGGTCTTCTCCTTTCAACTAGGATGAGCCCAGATTTTCTACTTTTTACCAGTTTCTCTATAAAGTTAATTGATTAAAAACCCAACTATGTTATTGTTTATAGTAAAAGATTTTATTGATGGAAAAGTCAAATTATTATAATGATTTATAGAAAATAGAGAATCCTACAAATTACTTTAAATTAATTTCACATTTGTCATGAGTTCCAAGATCATAACACATAATTTAACAGTCTTCTTTGTTTAATGTATATGTCTATACAAGTGTGCCTTAAAAAAATCTAAGAATGTAGAACCATATCTTAAATCTTAGAATTGTATCCACTGCCAGTGCAGATATTGGCATTGAAACTGATAATATTAATCTTTGATAACTTTCTAATAATGATTTTCTCTTCATTACAAAAAAGTTTTTCACTTGAGTGTAAGAGGGAATATTTAGTGTTATTTTATGCTGAAAGTTTTTTGTGTATGTGCCATGAAGATTAGCAATTAATTCTGTAGAAAGCATTATTTAAAATTATGATAATGTCTCATTCCTAAAATATGAGCAATATGTATATGTTTGGTTAACTAAAAGGGAATACAAGTTTTTCATGGCTTTAAAGATGTGGTGAGTGTTCAGGCAATTGATTAATCTATTTTCTTTCAATAATAGTGTGTATGGTCAAGCATGCCTATAATCCCAGCACTGGAGTGTTGAGGCAGATGGATGGTTAGCCTGAGCCACATAGTGAGGCCTTGTCTCAAACAAAGCAACTGATTCTGCAACTTTAGAAAACAAGCTAAGAGCAAAATGAATTTGTGAACTGAAAATATGCATTTCATGGGGGCTGGGAAGGTGGCTCAGTGGTAGAGCACTTGCCTTGCATGCATGAGGCCCTGGGTTCGATTCCTCAGCACCACATAAGCAAAAAGAAAAAAAG